AACTATTACATTTTATACTCTGAGAGTAGTTAGCATAAAGAAGTTTAAAAATAAATGAAATCAATTTATTTGGAATCAATTGAGTGCAAATAAATCTTGGGCGGTGGGAATTAAAGTTGAGAGAGGAGAACATCAATTTTTCTCTGTGCTTGCATAACCTGTTACACATCGGCTATTTTTTCTTTCAAGATGGTAAAAAATAGTCTGCGTTTTGTACATGCAGAAAAATAAATCAATTCATCTTAAAACAGGGACATATAAAAACAAAGCAGCATTGTAATGCAGCAGACCTTTTTACTTTTCAAAAATAGAACTTGGGTTTAAATAATGACAGTGCATTAAAGGTGACTCCTGAGTTTAAAAATACAAAATCAGCATCATTAAAATCTTGTTATTCTTTGTTCTTTATATTGGGTTGTCTATATTAGGAATCCAGGCACATTTTGGAAAATGGGGATAAGTGCAGAAAGCATGCCACAAATAGCAGGAAGTTTGAGGCATTGCACTCCAATTTTCATATATATTCCTTTCTCAGTACCAGAAGCTCTTCTGTAAGTGCCCTTTAGTTTTGGTTCTCAAATTATGACAGGATTAACTTGTTTCATTCTCTGATTGTTTCTACTCATGTTCACTTTGCCTGTTAGATGAGATTGGTTGTAACCACATATAGGATATAATCTCATCTAACAGGCAAATTTGGGAACATAAACTACCCAAGACGAGCCCGGAACTGAGCTAAATATTCAAGGACAGAGCTTGAATGTGTGTGTGTGTGTGTAAACACACACACACACACACACAGTCGCAACCACTAGACCACTATGCCATAAATAGATAGATAGATAGATAGATAGATAGATAGATAGATAGATAGATAGATAATGCATATGGGGTGCATTGTGACACTGGGTTGTTCAAGACCCAAGCACCACATGATGGCATTCCTGCCCCAGTTCCTGCCAACCTGCAGTCAAGAACAGCGTACACCGAACAGCTGAACAAGTGGCTGGCATTGTGGATAGGAACACCTCTACAGAATAATGGCTAGGCCTTCCTAAATCTATATGGGACAGCTCACAAAAGGTTGTGGAGAATAAGAAAGCAAAGATCCTGTGACTTCCAGATCCAAACAGATAGGAAGGTACTAACCAATCAACCAGATATTGTGGTAATAAACAAGGACCAGAAGATCAGAAACAAGGACCAGAAGTAGTGATACCAAGTGACATTAAAAAGGAGTATGAGAAATTGGAGAAGTACCAGAGTCTGAAGGAGGAACTGGAGAGGGTAGAGTAATACAATAACCAGGCATTATTTTCTTATATGTATTGGGTAATATAGATACTAATATGCTTACTAAAATAGATATGAACACCTTAGTAAACCCATACATTTTGTGAATAGAATCATAATGGATTAGGTCCCATATGTTATTTAAATTTAAAAATGATGCCTTTAATTTCAGTGAATGCACAAAATTGGAATTCAACTCACTGTTTCTGCCTCACTGCATTTTGTCAAAAGCTCACCAGTGTCACACAATTGAGATTTTATACTGTTGCTAATGTCTACATTTGTACACAAGGATTATTTTGAAAGATCCTTTTAAAAAAAGAATTCAAATCAGGGCCATGGAACATGTGGTCCTCCAGATGTTGCTAGCACAACTTTGAGCCTTTATTTTATTGATTACACTTGTGGGAGTGATGGGAACTCTAGTTTAGCAACATCTGAAGGGCCCCAAGTTCCCAGTCTTTGATTTAAATTACAGTAAATTAATCCCATAACCTTTTGACTGGAGTGGAATAGTTTTCCTTGATTTTGAAACAAACTTCTATAGGATTGCATATTTTAATATGCAGCCCAGATGAGAAAAAACAGGCAATTACCTCTGTCACAGCACACTCTATCCCAGGTATAAAATGCTCCCAATCTTTTTGTCCTTGAATTGTTGCCTATATTTCTTTTAATGATTCTAACCCATATGACTCCCAAATATGTGCAGCATTGTTTATCCAAAGCCGGGGCTCTCTCTTGACTTACTTCAGTCAATCACTATCAGGGCCAACCACCTAGTTGTGATCAACCAACTGATGCGGACCTGATCTTGTTCCAACAGCTAGAGACTGTAAAGGTTTGGAACGGGAGGAATAGGCTTAAAATCAACTCTAACAAAAATGAATAGCTGTGGGTACATGGTTCTTCCAATGTAGGAGATTTTCTATCTGCATTCCTAATAGGATGGCATTTCCCCAGAGAATATTGGTGCATGGTTTCAGGATATTGAAGAGTAGGTGGCAGCTATTGTCCAGAAAGCCTTCTTAAGATCTGTCTGCCTTGTTGCTTCACAAATGGACTATTATAATTCTTTCTACATGGTTCCCCTTGTAGATCACTTGAAAACTACAACTAGTCCAGAACACAGCTGTGTGAGCAGTTATGGGCATAATTTGGTACACCTATATAACAATTCTGCTACATAATCCACACTGCCTAGCAATGCAGATACAAAATAGAATGCTGGTTATCACCTATAAAATCCTTCATGGCAGTAAAGCTGGTTATATGAAGGATAATCTCTCTTTCATTCTTTTGTCTGTCCCATAAGAAATGACAATGGTCTTGCTCTATCAGGAGAAAATCAGCATTATTGTTGTTATTTGTTCTGTCTTCTCTTTGGGATTATATATAGTTGACAATCTAGAAAGAGAAGGGGTTATTTCATAAACCATATAAAATATGTTTATGGCTTTGGAATGCATTCTGGTCTTGAGCCAACAGAATAAGACTTAAGAGCTGGGATTAAAGTAGCATTTGCTACTGTGAGAGCACTGTTTTAAACCCAACCCAAAATTGCATCCAAATATTAGAGAGCTAACTGAGACTGAAGCAGAAAATGGTACTAAGGGAGCAGTACATACAAGATTCATGGTCGTCTAAAAGACATCCTTACCAGCTCACTATAAACATTTGTTGCATTAATTAATGACCCAGATTATGAACAACATCAATGTATTTAATCAATCTGAAACGAAAGAGCAAAGAAAAAGCAAAATCCAAACGAATGTCTATTGAACATTTTGAATATAATTTTCCAGCATGAAAATGAAAACATATGCAAGTGATCTTGATCTTTGAAGCCAGTTGATATGCTATGTTCATAAAACCTGATCATTATGTTCAAGTGCTCTCTAATGCATTCTACTGGTTCCTTGAAAGCTCTAATCTTAATCTAGTATATAACACTAGATGTGATCTCCTTCTCTCCATTTATTCAATATACACAATCAGTTTAAGGAATTGTACTTTGACACTGTTGATGGAAGGGCATTCTCCCTTGCCCAATACTCATTTATGGGTGAAGAGCAATCTGCATACAAAACACAACTCTGTTTTCCAACAGTGGAGAAAGCTCAGGAGGAGCTTAGGAGTTATCATGTCTGCTTACAATGTCCACTATTTGCCACCTGTGGCCACCATCTCATTCTGTCTTTCCTTATTCATGTATTTAAAATATGTATAGCCCTCTCAACAGTCAGGTGCCTATATAACTAAAAGACATAAAAATATTGAGTTAAATGTTAAATGCACAAAAATGGTTAAAAAACCAAAAATCAGTTTAATAAAAACTAATCCTGGTAGCTTCTTTTCCTGGGCATGTACAACAGTTTTTGTTTCAGTGTTTGAATAAGCAGTGGAGACACCAATATTACAATATCCCTGGCCAGAGAATAGCGAAACCAGCTGGAAATATAATTTCTACCAATATGCTCATAAAAGGTGCTTTTGACTTATGACACTGTCCCCAAATGTAAAAGTATGAAGTTCTCATCAATTCTTTCTTCAGGACAGTGAGCTTACCATTTTTGAGTTCATTTATATTTATGTGCATTTATTTCTCAGATGTACAATAAATATAACTCAGACTTTACATTGCTGGTTTATAGACAAAAAAAAAAGGTTGTTAAGCATTTTCTGTTCATTCAGAACACAGCTATTCCCCTTGAAGTGCATATAACAGCATTTAGTCAATAAGTCACCATGACAGAAAAGCTACAAATAAAATATTAATTTGCCCATCATGCCACCTGATCTACACTTTTGCTTGGGAAAGCTTCAAAAGATTACCTACATGTGAAGCAGCATGATTTTTATGGCGGATCATAATGGCCAATCTGATTTTCTTTCAAACACACACAAATATGTACCGTTTCAGTGAGACATCAGATATAAAATGTCATTCAAAGGCTTCAAAAAGAAAAGCATAAAAAAAGGAGATAGATACGTTTCACAATCTATATTGGGGGATCCAAGTACAAATCCCACTGACATTCAGCCGTAGAACTCATCAGATGATTTTTGACAAGACACAATTTCTCAGATTTATCCATATCAGTAAGGTTTTTATCTTCCATACAATGAGAAAAAGAATTGTGTGGGATCCTGCAGAAATAGTAAGATTTTTTTTAAAAAAGGAACCAGTCTGAAATATATGTATGAATTGTCAATTTACTATGGAACTTCACATGTCTCCTTTTATGCTGTAACAAGGAGACAAACCACCTAAAGATACTTTTCAGTGGTAGAAGCTCTGAGAAGGACATTTTTACAAAACCCCTATTTTTTTCCCTTTGGTCCAGCAAAAGTATCCCATCTATAAGGGAGGAAATGCATTCCAGAGGAATAAAAGGAATAAATAAATAAATACAAAATAAGGAATAATAAAAAAATATAATTCCAGATATTATACGTGAGACAAAGAGGGTGAAGACAGCCCCTCAATAATAATTCACGAAGTCTATTGTATATGCAGATAGCAGAGTGTTCGGTCTGGCAGGATTTTGTCTATAGGAGTGAAACACTAAGGAACCTAGCTTGAAAAAAATAATCAGATGTCATTCTTTGTTTGGGGCATGACACATGAAGTATTAGGATAGGGTAGCAAGGAAGAATCTTCTTGCTGAGAATCAGATCTGATTGGTTAAATGGTGACAGGATAGTTTAATGATTATTGTGTGATCTTTATTAAGAATTGTACAGCAGTCACTTGTCGTCGTCATCATCATCTTCATCATCATTTTCATCCCTGCAATAGAATATTAGCAATGTCTACCAGTCATGGAAACATTTCTGTTTCCCAAATAATAGCAACTTACACAGCAAAACCTTGCAGAAATGTAACATTCTATGAAATTCCTGTGAAAGGACTTCAGTCTTCTTCTTAGACTTAGTCCAAGTATACAGACTAGCAGCCAAGAAACCAGCATAGATAGACCTGATTTCTTGTACTTAGACAGCCCAACTAAGATACCTAAGTAGCTTTGAGACCTAATTTTCAACAAAATTGCTACCTGATAATATCACCTGGTTAAGATAATCAACCCCTTGTGACTAAGAACCAGACACAGTATTTTTCCTCAGAGCCACATCGGCAACATATAAAATGTTTATTTTCTTCCTGCTGGAGAAATTAAAGAATGGTTAATTGCACAGATCTTTGATTCGACAAAAAGCTTCATTACTTCACCAGGAAACAGTGAGTTAAGTTTGACTAAAGATTATTGGGCAAAACACTCACATGTTTTTTTTTTTTCTTGGCTGAAAAAATAGACAAAATAAACCCCAACAGCCTTAGGAATTTCAATGGTTTTAAAAAGGCAAACATATCAAAAGCAGCACCAGTATAATTTTTATTACAGAAGTTCACAGAGAGTGGAACAAAAGTACATAACAATTGCTGTTGTATAAAAGTACCTCATTAAAAAGAATGACCAATGTTCAAAGAAAATAGATGCATCTCCTGGAAACATTTCCAGGAAAAAAGCAAGATGCTTTTTTCAAAAGGCAACTTTGAAGGACTTCGTTATTGTTTTCTTTGAAAATGGTCATCCAAGAAGCTTCATCAGTTCTTTCATTCTAGACATCTTTTTAAAAAATAAATTAATTAGATGTCATTATTTCAGTTAGAAGGAAAATTGCATGAAATAAATCACAATATAAGCAATAGAGTTTCTGTCTGCTATGAATAGCTTCGGTATTCTATATTGGACTTCTGATACCAGGATAGCCATAATTTTTTTTCTTTTAATTTTTATTTTCCATTTTTCCAATTTACATAACAATAAGCATTTTTTAACAGTACTGTGTCATGTGTCTCTTACAGTTATCTACATTAATTTTTTTTTTCTAAATGTCAACTTTTCATCATACAATATCCTGAAAGTCTAGTTCTCTGTCTAGAGCAGTGATGGTAAACCTTTTTGCCATCACGTGCCAAAAGCGGAGGGAATGCGGGGGGGTAGTATGCGAGCATGCCCACACCCATAATTCTATGTGCCCCACCCCCTTGCACATGTGTGTGTGATCTCCCCTACGGTCCCCCCACTTTTGGCACGCAATGGCCCAGTGGGCCCGGTAGGCCCGTTTTTCGCCCTCCCTGGCTCCAGAGGCTTTCTAGGAGCCTGGGGAGGGCAAAAACAGCCTTCTATAGGTATTTGAGAAATTGCATTAGTTAGCAAGATGTGGTGGCTCAGTGGCTAAGACTCTGAGTTTGTCAATCAGAAGATCGGCAGTTCAGCAGTTCAAACCCCTAGCACCACGTAATGGAGTGAGTTTCCATTACTTGTCCCAGCTTCTTCCAACCTAGCAGTTTGAAAGCAGATAAAAAATGCAAGTAGAAAAATAGGGACCACCTTTGGTGGGAAGGTAACAGTGCTCCGTGCGCCTTCGGTGTCTAATCATGCCAGCCACATGACCACAGAGATGTCTTTGGACAGCACTGGGTCCTCAGCTTAGAAACGGAGATGAGCACCACCCTCTAGAGCCATAAACGACTAGCACGCATGTGTGGAGGAACCTTTACCTTAAGCTTTGAGAGTCTCTGTTACAATTCCTGAATCCAATTCATATTCTTCAGGGTTGACAACTTGATCTAAGATCCTCCAAACCACTGTTGATAAAAATCGGCACAACTGTCTATGACAGACTATGTATTTAGTTCTCTTCATCACAGTTCAAGCATGTAAAATTCAGTTGAAGGTATCTGATCTTTGCATCATTCATTTAAAAGGTGCCAAATATTCCATAGTAGCCTTAGTTTGCTCTATTGTCAGTGGTCATTTGAAATATCCCATGATTGTGCCTTGTCACTGCAATTAGCCATATGTTCATATTAAGTAATTTATACATAATACATAACAAGATCCCTATTTTGAAAAATGACTTTCTTTAAGCACAAGAAAGCGGGGGGGGGGGGGCAAAATCATTATCATGAATTGCTGCTGTCCTACTACCTAACTAATCTTCCTACCTGAAGATATATCTATAATATATTACAAATTAAAACACCACCAAGTTTTCCAGATTTCACATATTGTTTTTTTCAGTGTTTCTTTTTGATGTCACTGTCATTGCAGACAGCCACTGAATGTTGTTTTCTGCAGAATAAATATGTGTCAATCCATTGAAAAGTGGAATGTGCCAGGTGAATGCTGGAGCACAGTTGCTCATGAAAAGACAATTCTCATTGCGCCATAAGGGAATAAAATATCAAAGGCAAAAATGCCTTTTTTATTCCTTTCTAATACACATCAAGATGTTTTCAGGTGTGCCATTCATTCCCCAGCAGAAGAAACATACATGCATTTCTCAGATGCAATTTATTAAAAATCAAAGTCCCTGCATCTTGCTGCCTCTCTAGATTATGTTAAAATGGAATTCTTTTAACATATATTTATTGGTAGCTGTAGATGTAACAACAAGACGACGTGATAGTGCAACCAAAATGATAAATACAATACAATACAACCAGAAAATAATATATAGAACAATGACAGTTATTTCATTTTTGTAGCAACTAAAGGTATATCCATAAAATGTTAATATAAAATAATATTATAATATAATATAATAAATATAATATAAAGCAACTCAACAGTTAACATATTATTAAGCCCTGGAGCCATTTTCTCCCTGGCCTCTTCAGGGCTGCCACAGCAAAGGCCATCGGGCTGTGGGAATGGGAAGGTGGGAAGGTAGAAATAGAGAGGGGATTGTAACCAAAATAAAATTCTTGTCTCTAATAACCAAGGATGTTCCCACCAGGTGCCAGGAGGCGGGATGTGAGACCAGTTGAACTTTGAACTGTGACCTGATTGGACCATGTGATGGGATGCATGGGCAGGGGGAGGAAAAATATACTTTTAATTAAGGGGGAAACCCAAGGGGGATCTGAGTCGGGTTTCCCCAGATGTGCCAATATGACATGCCTAATAAATACTCACTTTGAGGAATATGCTTGCCTCAGAGTTTTGATTCTGTTGCGGATGTTACTTGGAACCCTGACACTTAGCCATATAGGCCAAGTATTGGTCCATTTTCACATTTAGTACAATACATTATTTTGATACAAGGATATTTATATAATATACAAAGACTATTAACGGGATCCAGTTGTGTGTAGAGGTTAAGGCACCAGACTAGAAGCCAACAGGTCATGAGTTCTAGTCCTGCCTTATGCACAAAGCCAGCTGGGTGACTTTGGGCCGGTCACTTTCTCTCAGCCTTAGAAAGTCGGCAATGGAAAACCAAACTGCAGGGACTTGTCCAGGGATGAAGGAAGAGCATACATCAAAGTATTTGTCGTATTAAAATGGAATTATTCGAGAATCATAGTTTAAGCTGTATATACAGCATTAGTCTCTTGCACTGTTGTTTTGCAGAGATATGTCTGTGACATTTTGAGTGCTGCTGAATAGTTTACTCATTATGCTACTGCTAAATTTGAGGCACACCATTCAGAATACTAAACATCATTCCCTAAGTAGTGCATAGAGATTCATTTTGAAGAACGGTTCGCATTTTAGGGAAATGCAGTTGAATCCAAGTTTGTATTTTGTCTGATCTCCCTGGTGTACTTGAAAATAATATTATTCATTTATTAATTTTCTAGCTCATTTTTCCAGGAGTTTCTCAGATGCTTTTTAAACAATGTAAAAACTATTTTTTTTAAATTAAAAAAACCCTGCTAAAAATGGCAACAGATTCTCACTAACTAATAAATCAAATGCAAAAGCACAGCTCAGTATCATCACTTGGCAGTGGGATACAGAAAGAACAATGGAATTATCCAGCAATTTAGGGGTGGCAGCTCCATATAGGAGAGAAACTCTGAGCAAACTCTTGTATGTTGTAATTAAACAGGTATCAGAAGGTAATGAAATTTAGGTGGCTCACAGAAAACTGCTTTAATCCTTTCATAATTATACTGCATCCCTGAATCTTTCTTCTGACTGCATCCCTGAATTTACTCCTCGCATGTATGTGTGTATGTATGTATGTATGTATGTATGTATGTATGTATGTATGTATTATTTGACTTTGTTTCTTTAACTGCTATTATCTACTTAACATACTACCTAAGATTCTTCTATGTTTGTATGTATGGAGCAACTTCATTCTTCTTGCCTGATAATTGAACTCTTGATTGATAGTTCCTGGATTGGGGTATTGTTTACTGCTCATGGAAATTAAATAGATGTTTTGGGGTCTCGTCACCAAGGCAACAGTCCAATGTATTATATGGCTGAAAAACCTTTATAACCACAGGTACATTGTAATAATGAAATAATGGTTTGTACCAATCATTTCTTTATGGAAGATTTATTGAATCATCTAAACTTCATTGTACCAATAGAAGAGTTTATTTGTGGCACAGGAAGAACTATGGCATCCTTGGTGCTCTCTGAGCTTAGTTGTTTTCTTGCAGCTGCTTCATTATCCAACTAGGTAGCACATCAGTGCTAGAAGGGAGTGGACTTTAGCCTCTGTTTATATGCAAGTGGCTTGCCCTGTCAGTGTTGGTGGGAATGTTCTTGAAGGTTCCTTGATTAGGCTAATGTTTACTGTTTGGTTATGTGTCTGAGTTGGTAGTTCCTCAATTGGGGTATTGTTTATTGCTCGAAATAGTAAGCAGTAAACAATACCCCAATCCAGGAACTATCAATCAAGAGTTCAATTATCAGGCAAGAAGATAATGATAACTAATGATACTTTTAGGTTCAACATTCCTAAAAGTAAGCATTTGTGGAACATTGTACATTATAACATTTAAATATAAAGAATTGGCCAGGCTTGTAACATGAAAATCTTATTTAAAATCTTAACCAAATTATCCCTACCACAGGGGTGAAATCCAGCAGGTTCTGGTTCTGTACTTTGGTATGCTATGAATGCAAACAAGTCTGCACTCCATGCTTCTACATAGCTGTTTCGTCTCAAGGACTATGGTGAAGGCTTGACCCATTCTGCAGGTTGCTGCTAAGTAATCCTGTTGCAGAAATTATGCAAACCATCCAGCTCAGATCAAACTCCAAGTTTCTCCCAGATACCTTTGTTCATATTGGTGACCTCAGGTGACTGCCAGAATCTGGAGTCACCTGCCACAGGTGAACTGGCCTACAGAAATGAATAGGACATAGAATGCAATTCTAAAGCCATCACTACTAATCTACATTGCAAACACTACATTGCATTAATGTTTCTTTTTAAAAAAAAATGCATGAGAAACAGTATCAGTGTTTTGATTCAGATCCATGTGTGCAAATTGATCATCTTCTCTGAAAAGATAAATCACGACTGCAAATGATGCATCCAGCTTGTAAAATAGACTAGACAAGAAATCCAGTAATGAAGTATTCAAAAAATGAAAAAAATTAAAGGAGGTTGCCAAGGAGGTTTCTTCAAGGTAATTATTTTCTGTAAAATGGTTCTGTTCTCTGACACTTACATAAGAACTTGCCATGTCATCCTCAGCTACTTCTTAAGCAATGTTGTGTTTATGGGTGCAGCGTCCTGGGCAGGGGTCAGCTGCTGGAGGTTTGCAGGGGTTCGGGAGAACCTCTAGCTAAGATTCTGTGCAGTTTGGAGAACCCCCAAATCCCACTCCTGGCTGGCCCCACCCCACCCCACCCCATCCACCCCGCCCCACCCCTCCCAGGAGTCCCCACATCGCCTTTTTGGGATGCAGGTAATTGCATGGCGCACGCGGAGGCTCAGGGAGGATGAAAAATGGGCCTATTGGAAGTTCGGGAAGGATGGAAACAGGCCTGTTTCTGGCCTCCAGAGGGCCTCTGGAGCCTGGAGAGGCTGTTTTTGCCCTCCCGGAGGCTCAACAAAAGCCTCCGGAGCCCGGGGAGGGCAAAAATGCCCCCCCACCGTGGTGTAGGAGGCAGACTAGGCCATGCCCACCATGGCCATGCCCACCTAGCAACCGGGCAGAGAACCCCTTGCTAAAATTTTTGAAGCCCACCCCTAGTCCTGGGGACAACAGGCTGAAAATGAGTTGCAAGACTTTTGGATTTATAAACTGTGAACAGATAAGGAAGCATTCATTAAAGGGAAGACTTTCTGCATATGCTCTGGAGCAATTGTTAGGCTTAAAATATTTTGTTCCTCTCATATTCAGTCCTAAGCACCAAAAATGTTCTAAACAAAGCACGGAGACCCTACATGGATTGGCAGCATCAGTGTCAAATGGCACAAATACATTCCTGCTAGGTCCCTTTGCTTTGCATCACAATGTAATTCAAAAGGAGGCTGAAAACTCCAGTCCTAATTACTGCATGCTGCTAAGGCTACAGGTTATACAGCAGCATCTCATTTCTGCTGTCTTGTATATTATAGAGACTCTCTGACAGGCAATCATTTTGGGAGAAAAGGAACAAGAATCTATGCAGAAACATGCTACCTCAGATTACATGGCCTAGTAAGTTTGGTTTTAAGGCAAAATCTCTCATGGATGGTTCTGTGCTATTTTTTTTTAACATCTTTAATAGTTAAATTATATGAGGAATTTAACCACTGAACTATATCTTTCAAAAATCTTGGAGCACTGGGTAATTACCAGATGACTAGAAAATGGTTATCCATGATTGCCATCTTCAAAAAAGGGGGGAAATTGGATCCAGCCTAACATCAATACCTGGGAACTGTTGCCCATAGTAGTGGTCCTTCATCGCCAGCTACCTTTTTCCTTTTAGGGGGCTTTCTGATATTTACCCTCAGTAGAAATGATGCATCCATTCAAACAACAGATAACATATATGTGGGATAAGCTTGCCTCTCATGAAGGACCAACCCAATAGCTGACAATCACCATTGTGACATCACATATGAGAAAACCCTGATTGGTTAAATACCAGCTGACATACAACAAAAGAGGCTAACATATTCCAGGAACTGATTGAACTGGTTACTTTTAAGCTTATGTCTGCCCAACATGCAGAGGTATGGATGGTAAAACCCAGCATATAAGTGGCATTGAATCTGAGCATTATTAATCTCTAGTTTCTATTTCCAGTTAGGCAGACGTAATGTAAAAACTAAACTCCTCTAGAAAGTATGCTATGGTTCTCTTATTTCTTCTAATAACACTACCCTACTTTAAAAAAAAAATTACACTCCTTACTGTAATCATTTTCAAATGAACATTTATTTCTCTGCCTTGGATAAACTATTCTGCTAATGTACGGCAAATAGCAGACTTTCATAAATTTACCTTTAAAAATTTAGAAACCTCAATGCTGATTTCATAACCCAGTTGCCCAGTATCTATAAACTAAAATGATGGGTGAGGATTTCTATATTATTGAGATTTGATAGCAGTATTTCACTTCAAACTCTGCTGGGGAAAATTCTTGGTCTTATTTCAGAAGCATGGTTACTATCTCAACTTGTCATCTCCCTCTGATACTTACAGCGAATTAATTTTGTCTAAGAAATGCATGAGTGCTCTTTAAATATTGTTTCTCTCGAAAGGCTCAAACTTACATGTCATTTTTTTTATTGGAAAGGGTCTGTTTCTTTTCCCCACTAAATCCTGGTAAGACACACATCTGTGAGGGAATTATAAGTCTATTGGCATCCATATGCTTGAAGATTTTTCATAAAAATATAGTCAAAACTATCATATAGTCATTATGGGCTGAAATGGATAAAAATAAACTGTGTTTTCTGGATTTATTGATTAATAACGGCAGAATAGGGGGAACAGGGGACCATGTTATATAATTTTGAAGGGGAGAAATGGTTTTAAATATTTTTATAACTGCTGCAAACAAGATTGAAAACTGTTTCCTTAATTATTTATTTTCTTTTTCTATTTTTTCCCCTGAAACTGATCTTTTCCAACTCTTTATATTGTTCTGTTGTGTTTTTTTAACTTTATAAAAACATGATTCAATAAAACTATTAAGCAAAGTATTATAACATCATTGTGAACAAAAATAAAAGAGAAAATATAAAAGACTAAACCTGTAAGCAGATGACAAAACAAAACATGATCAAATATGATTTTAATTCCCTTCTTAGCTGTGATTAAAGAACTTACTTCATCTCAGTACTATTCCATTACAAGGTCCTCTTCCACTACAGAGGAAGTTAGACATCTATAGTGGGCCTTGAAAAAAGTAGCCCACTGATAATTTGCACAACTTCTGATTATATCCACCCTGAAATAATTAACTAATTAAGGCTATAATACAAGTTGGATAACCAACTAAAAATATCTAACCTAATAGTACAATATATACAAAATAAAATGTAAAATAAATTTCCAGAATTGTAACTTGCACTCAACTAAAATTTATCAAAATTTTCAGATGTTTGGTTTTTTATTAAAAAATAAACTCCTTATTTCCATTGATGAACTTCTCACTGAAGTTATACCCATGTGCACTGAATTCCTCCTTGTAACAGTAAATGCACTACATATATTTCAAACTAATGATGGATTGGATTTAGGCATACCATCTGCAAAAGGAAAAGACTCCATTTGCAGAAAAGACTAAAACAGTGGTGCTTCTCCAATTCTCCCTTCAACCTCAAACTCCAGGTATCCTTTAAAAAGCTGATCTAGAAGACCAAAACTACATCTCTCTCCGACTGTATGAGAACAGTGGAGTATGCTAAGAGCAGGACCACATTCATTTAAAGTCTGAATCATACTCCATGTGTAGCCAACAAAAGTGTCATTCATTCCATTCCATTGAGGTTCTATGTACTCTTTTTTTTTTCTCAGTTATAGTTTATGTTCCTTGGTATATTTTTGAAGGATTAATTATTCAGTCATTTACCCCCTCCCCCCGAACCAGTTACCCCCCTCACAAAAACAGTTCACAAAAAGGTCAGCAATTCCCTTGAATTTATATTCTAACAGAAATATTGCCCAGCATTGTTTCGATATGAGATGGGCAACAAATAAATAAATAAATTAAATAAATTAAATAAGTACGTAAGTAAATAAGATAATAAACAAACAAATAAACAAATAAACAACAAATTGAGAGTTTGAAAAGAAAATAGTCCTGGTTAGTTTATTTCTCCAGGTGTACTTAAAACCTATCATTCCAGTTCAGATTGCTTCCATTCTATACCTATTGTCTTTCTGTCTGTCTGTCTGTCTGTCTGTCTGTCTGTCTGTCTGTCTGTCTGTCTGTCTGTCAGTCAGTCAGTCAGTCAGTCAGTCAGTTTGTCGGTCTGTCTATATCTATCTCCACTTGGACTGGTGGGTTTTTATTTATTTATTTTTTTCTGGCCTATTCTTTTTCTTGTTTTTTGCTGGGGTTTATTTTTTTCTTTTTTTTTACTTTATGTTCCCTATCTTGAAGTTTCGTCTGCTTCTTCTTATCTCCTCTCACAGCAAAATGATCGCTCAAAGCTGCTTCTAATGTTAGCTGGAGAGAAAAAAGCTGGTATTGTAGCAGGATGGCAACAGCTTTCCATGCTGTTGACTTCTTCTGCTCCTTCCTTTCAGAGCAAGGTGAGCATCCATTCATTTTTTTAAATCATTATTGTTATTATTATTATTATTATTATTATTATTATTATTATTCATTAAAGGAAAAGCTTCAGTCCTAATTTGTGACATATACACTACTTTTCATCCTGATATATCTATGGATATAGAGGGCTATGGATATTTCAAGAGGGATAGTCTTGTCCATGCATCTGTTAACAAGGGCTGTAGTCCATGAAATCTTTTGTTGTAATAAATGTGTTAATATGTCACACGATTCTTTATTGTCAAAGGAAATGGAAAAGAGAATGAAACAAAATTATCACGCTTTGTAGTCCTTGAAATCAGAACTGGAAACATGCTCTTCTACTGGATTATGAATTTGTAATGCAATAACTACTGAAAATATGAATATTCTGCAAATACTGTAATAAGTGACACAACTTTGTATATTTTTTAATTTTTAAATATGTATTTGTGGGTGAACAGCCTTACAATCTTCAACTCCACTCTTGAAGTGACAGAAGTATAGATCAAGGCTAAGCTGTATCTCAGTGATAATGAGGAAGGGAAAGAAAAAGGATCCCGGACAAATTCCTTGGACATGGAAGCAACCTTTGCCGTTAGGTAGGTATCAATAATTTTAGAAGAATAGTTGTACAGATGGATTCAAATCTGCAGAGGCTCTTTCTTTTCTGTAGATAGAGGAGCTGTTCCAATCTGATCTTTAAAACTGCAACACATTCAGCAGAAGGAATTCTGGCAGTGCTTGTAATATGCAATTGAAAAGAATTGTGGAAGAGCTTGTGCCACCCATAAATGTAAATGTAAATATGAAAAGAAACAAAGATTGTGCGGGAGTTTGCTTATGATCTTTATGTGAATATATCTTAAAGAGGAAGTCCTCAACTTACGACCACAGTTGGTATATTATTTTGGTTGCTAAGCAATGCCGTCATTAAGAGAGTCATCATGTGACAGACCCAATGTTACTGCACTCATCAAGGGAATCATATAGTTGTTAAGCGAATCACACATTCATTAAGCAAATCTGGCTTCCCCAATTGATTTTGCTTGTCAAAAGCTGATTGAGAAAGTCACAAATCACTATCATAGGACCAGAAAACATTGCAACTGTTGTAAATGCCAAGTCAGTTGCCAAGTGCCTGATTTGTGACCTAGCAGTAATGCAAAGGCCATAACTTTGAGCACAGGTCATAAATCATTTTTTTTCCCAAGGCCATCAGAACATCCAACCATTGTTATACAAACAGTCGTAAGTCAAGGGCAACCTCAAATTCAAATTCAAACCTTTATTGTCATAGTACAACATGTGTACAATGAGATTGGCTGAGCCTCCTTCGTGCATCCCACCCCCCACAACCAGTGGTGAAATCCAGCAGGTTCTGACAGGTTCTGGAGAACCGATAGCGGAAATTTTGAGGTGTTCAGAGAACCAGCAAATACCACTGACCCTAGAGTGGGGTGGGAATGGGGATTTTGCAGTATCCTTCCCCTGCCAGGCCTGCCAAGCCACGGCCACAGAACCAGTAGTAAAAAAAATTGGATTTCACCACTGCCCCCAACACAATACAACTCACAGTGAAAGACAAAAATCCCCTAGTCCAGTGAATCCTACTAACAAACAAACACTCAGTCCTCAGTACCATGTGAATTTATTGTGCGTTGCGCTGGCCCTGCAAGTCAATTGTACTATGTTGTTGTAAAGTTATTTTTCATTCAGGAGTCTTGACAGCCCACGAATAAAAACTGTTCTTCAGCCTGTTTGTGCGGCTGCCTATGCTTCTATATCTCCTTCCTGATGGTAGGAGAATAAAGAAGTGCTGACCAGGATGAGAGTCATCCCTGAGGATTTTCTTCACTCTTCTAAGGCAGCGAGCCCTAGCAATCTCATCTAATTGTATCAGGGGACAGCCCACAATGTATTGGGCTGTGCTCACCATGTGGTGGGTTCCTCCAGGTTCCTCCCGGTTCTGCCGAGTGAGTAGCGGTGAAGATATAACATCTCCAAACTGGTTCTGCCCCCCACGCCCACGCCCCTGTGTTATTGTTACCTTTTATTTGGCCCCACTCCCAATCTATTGCTGCTTACTGAGTCCCAGCTGATCGGCTAGAAGGAAAAAAAACTGTTTAAACTCTTGCTGGGGCTCCAAAGGGCCACCCTACAGCTGATCAGTGTTAAAAGGCAGTGTGGTGGTAGACCAGTGCCTCCAAAAACAAATGGGTAGACCGGTACAGCTCTGCAAGCAGTTAAAAGCCTGGTAGACCAGTACCTCTGCTAAATCCTAAAGAATTGTCACATGACCATCAAGCCACGCCCACAAAATAAGACACACCCACAGAACCGGTAGTAAAAAATTTTAGAACCCACCCCTGCTCACCACCCTCTGTAATGTCTTTCTATCCATGGCTGTCAAACCAGCATATCATACTGTAATGCAATGAGTGAGGAGGCTTTTTATTGTGGACCAGTAGCATTGAAATCTCTATGCTAATGGGAATTTGCCTTTGCATCTCAGAAGACACCCAAAGTCAATGGAGGAAGTTGGTTTTCTCAATTGTTTTTCAGAGCTATGCTACAATCCATTTTTTCTGGTTAAAAAAACTATTTATCAGTCGAATGCATGCACAGTCTTCCCCTCTGCATGCACTTTGTTACTCTGTTGGATTTTTTTTCCTCAGTCCATCTATTAGCACAAAGATGGATTGCTTTGCTCTCCTCTGCAGATCCAGGGGCACCGAAGAAGAAAAAAAAATCCTAAAATGAGCAAAGTGAAGAAGCATAATGGGAAGCAAAGATCAGCTCCCATGGAACCAGCTGCTTTTGTTGCCGGTAGGAAGAACCGTATGCTGATGGACTGCGATGTGTCATCACAGCTGGACACAACTTGAAAATCAGATGTTTGACAAATTTAGTGTAAAACTTTAGCCAACACATTCTGGCAGGCCCAGAAACAATTTTTGGTTGATAACCTATGTGACTCAGAATGTTAGGACCCCTGTTGTGTCCATGGTATGACTTGTAAAAGAAAAAAATCTGGGCTGTCACCAGGCAAACCCTTTCTGGGTTACAGGCATGAGTCATTTATGTGAAAAGAACACAGAAGGGGATCGCCGAGTGCTTTGCTGCCAAATGCTGGCTGGTTATGGCCGTGGCATAAGAATAGATCTTTTACTGCCAGGGCATGGTGCCTGCCTGCCTCATCAAAGCTGCTCACTGAGGTTATATTGGGGGTGTAGAGACTTTTACTTCATCAGTGAGACTTGCCCTAGCTTTCCTTGGCAGCTCTAGCACTCTAAAACTGCATAGGAGGATCCAGGGATGAAATCCAGCAGGTTCTGACAGGTTCTGGAGAACCAGTAGCGGAAATTTTGAGTAGTTCGGAGAACCGGCAAATACCACCTCTGGCTGGTCCCAGAGTAGGTGGGAATGGAGATTTTGCAATATACTTCCCCTGCCATGCCCACCAAGCCACGCCCATCAAGCCACACCATGCCCACCAAGCCACGCCCACCAAGCCACACCCATAGAACCGATAGTAAAAAAAATTGGATTTTACCACTGGGAATCCAGAGTAGATTTGAGGAGCATTGGGGAGGTATAAGTAGGGAAAGAACAGCTGATTCATCAGGTCTCTGTTTGCTGGAAAGTGGATACAGCTAGATGCAATTTTGAAAGACCGTGGTCACCATAGTGGAGTAATCTTTGGCCTTGTATTGCCTTAAGACTCCCCATGTGGTAGCAGTGCTAAGGAGCCTGATGAAGGACTCCAGCACCAACCAAGAATGCAAATTTTTATTTCAGCTCAAACACTATATTTAGCCTTTAGATAGCATATCCTAAACAAGTAGTGGGTTGGGAAATGACAACTTTTAATTTAATGTCACTTTTATTTATATGTACATTTGATTCAGTAATGGAATTCAATTTTATTTACTACCGGTTCTGTGGGTGTGGCTTGGTGGGCGTGGTGGGCAGGGCTTGGCTTGGTGGGCGGGGCTTGGTGGGAGGGACAGAGGAAGGATAATGAAAAATCTCCATTCCCACCCCACTCCTGGGGGAAGGATATTGCAAAATCTCCATTCCCACCCTACTCTGGGGCCAGCCAGAGGTGGTATTTGCCGGTTCTCTGAACTACTCAAAATTTCCGCTACTGGTTCTCCAGAACCTGTCAGAACCTGCTGGATTTCACCTCTGATTTGATTAAATAATAGGGCCTTACAAAGTATTTGGAAAAAAATGCTCAGTGAAGCATTCTTCCTTGAATCATTAAAGCAGCTGCTTCAACCCCAGTGTCTGCCTATTCTTTCACATATATTCTTATAGAGCTTCTTCTCTAGTTGTCCCAACAAAATCACTGTTTATACAAAAACAGATAGGTGGAGACAGTTTTTGAAGCATGCACTCCAGTGGTGGGTTTCAAATTTTTTTACTACCAGTTCTGTGGGCATGGCTTGGTGGGTGTGGCATGGCTTGGTGGGAGTGGCTTGGTCGGCATGGCAGGGGAAGGATACTGTAAAATCTCCATTCCCTCCCCAATCCAGGGGAAGGATACTGCAAAATCCCCATTTCCTCCCGATCAGCTGGGACTTGGGAGGCAGAGAATAGATGGGGGCGAGGCCAGTCAGAATTTTTACTACCGGTTCTCCGAACTACTCAAAATTTCCACTACCGGTTCTCCAGAACTGGTCAGAACCTGCTGAAACCCACCTCTGATGCACACCACTTTCTGGAGAATGCCATTGCTCTAACATTAGGAAAAGACTGCTTCACTTGGGCCCAAATTGATCCTTATACCGGCTTTACACAGTTCCAATAGAAGAGAGTAAGTGTAGCTCAAGTTTAAAGAGTGGAGTCCTTGGTGCTCGCTTGAGCTTGGTTGTTTACATGCAGAAGTTTCATTACTTGGCTAGCTAACATCATGTGACATTATAATCAGTACCCTGTGCCCAAGTGCCCAATGGCCAAGTGCCCTAATATTATTACCAAGTTGGGTAATGAAATGTCTCAAATAAAACATCCAAGTTCAGAGAACACCAAAGACTCCAGAGCTGTACACAATCCTATTAAATAATGGTTCTTCTCCAGTCATATTTTTATGCATTTTATCTGGTCATGTTTTATGCATTTTCTTTTTGGTCACATTAAAAAATATATATAGTAACAAATTTTGGAAGCCACATGTGCCTGTGAGGTATATCTAAACTTTATATCCTGGTTTGCATTTTATGATTCATTGTATAATCCCCCACAAATATGCATTCAATTAATCAAGTAACCCTACACATTATTAACCCTACACATTGATCTTTCTTCTTTCCACAGATTTGTTCCAAGCATCTCAGTCAGCCGTGGAGTTCAAGAATGCCAAAAAAGAAAAACTCGTGCCAAGTATTGTAATTCCTGTAACGGTAAGGCCAATTATTTTATTAAAGATATCCTTTTAGACTACTTTAAAAAATAAGGCAGGCCTTCTTCTCCAGATCATTTTTTTAGTAGTCATGTGATGATAGAGTCATTTTCCATTTTTCATTCGAATGCTGAAACCCAGCAATGCTTAGAGGTTACAGAGAAAAGGGAATTGTTTGAACTCCTAACCTCCTGATGTTGGAACATTTTCATTCAGAATAGCAAATCATAAACAATTTTTTGTTTATGAACCAAATGTATGTGTGAAAAAACCTTACAGTAATTCACTTCCTCTGTCAAGGTGCTTCCCCTCTGGAGATTTCAACTGCTCCCACCCTGATAATATACAGAAAGTTTCCTAGGACTTTGGATATGATCGGAATCAAGTCCCTGTGAAACTTTTACTGCCTGACATGAATAGCTAAAATTCTTATAAATTAGTGATTTCTTCTTTTTAAAGTAATGACTCACCCAGAATCTTTTGGCGGCATTTAAATTGTTTTTACGTATAAATAAATAACTTGAAACAAAAATTGCAAATACTTCCAGCCATCTCTGCATGTTTTGATTTTCAGGAGCCTTCAAAGAAATGGAGAAAGTTTCCTTACTCTCCCCAGTGGGCAAGTATATTAGATGTGGCTCAGAAAATCTTGGATGAAGAAGACAAAATGAAAAAGAAACAGGGGAATAAAGCAAAAGGAAAACAATCCCAGTCAAGTAAGAACTTCAGGAAGGAAGGTATAGAAACTGAAGAAAAACGGATGCCTGAATTTTGCGATCTACACGGTATAAAATTAACAACGATACAACCTTTGTTAGAGAAATTACCATCTCCAAAGCTCTCATATTTACGGGCAGAGAAAGAGATCTTAACAGCTAAAGAAATAGAAGATATTATTCAGGAAATTGTGACCCTCAGGGCCAGGGAGAGGCTTTCTGAAGAAGCTATGGCTAAAGAAGGAGACAAAGAGAAGCTCTTTTCCGAAGACATCTCTTCTATCAATGCCCCAAGCCCATGCTATCACTGGGACTGGAGGTGGCCACTTTAAAAATGGCTGCTCGGAATGAATGCATGGAATCAAACATCTGCATTACTGCCTTCAGCGCACCATTCCATAACCTATCATTGTGCTGAAAAGTTTTTGTTACTGTTTTGTTGCTATTGCTGCTCCTGCTGCTTTCCATTCACAGCTTCTGCGGGCAAGTTCTTTAATCTATATACTACTAAAACACTTGTGTCTGTCTGACTGCTTGCCACTTTCAACTGGGCAAAATAGTATGTCATACTGTAGGGCAACAATTTTTGAACCAAGGTACCTCAAATGGGCTAACATATCAAGTTGCAGGACCATTATACCTGTGAGAATGACATTTGAGGAAGTTGTGGCCACTGATATAGGAGGCCACTGTCACATGTTTATTATTTTCAATGCTCCCTGCCAGCTTTCCATAAGGTCTTTGTTGTGGGAAGCTGACAAGGAGTGTCCGCAGTGGGGAAACCATCAGGGAAGGTTGCAAGCTGGTCAAGTAATTTGCTCTCACCTCTGCTATCTCCCCAACTCCACTGCACTGATGTCACACTAGGCCACTTGCACACACACCTATATTCTTCCTGAACCACGTCACTCTCCTGCTCGCCCTCCCTGACCTGTGTGATACTTGTTGCCCATCCCTGTGAATCCTACACACCCTTCCTAATTTATGCCACATCTTTGCATATTATCTCTGACTCATGGGGTGCCTCTTGCTCACCTGTGTGCTTCCATGTGCATCCTTCTTGATCTGTGCCACACCGTTGCAAATGGGTGCAAGTCAGGGAGAGTGCAAAGCAGCGCAGAAGGTACATGAGAGGCACTGGAGGAAAGTCAACAAGAGTATGCTGGGGTGCATGGAGGTGTACAAGAGGTTCCTCATGGGTCATGGAGTAAGCACAAGAGTGCAGTACAAGTTGGGGACAATGAGCATGTGTATGTGAGGATACTGAGGGGGGGGCAGAATTGGATGAAGGAGGCACAAAAGGGTCTGGAAGGGTGCACCGGATGCAAGAATGTTAAGGAAATATATGTGAAATGATGTTCAACAATGCACAGGTTGCTTAGTGTGCATTAAGTATGCAAAAAGATGCCAAAATAAATGCTTCTTTGGATGCCTGCCCTGTCATGTAAACTGCAGGATGGCTGGACTGTATTTAAGCAACTTTTGGATCCAATCGAATCAAGCAGGGCTGGTTGTTCAGATGACATTCTCAGATGAGACTGGTACACAGTTTTTATAACAAGCAAACCATTTATTACTTATGTATTAATTTATCCTGCATTTACTACAAAAAACCCAAGGCAGAATATATACTGTAGTAATTTCCTTTCCACCCACCATGGGATTTATTGGAAATAGAATTCATATGTAAAGAAACCATAAACCCCTTAAATCTTTTCAAAATCTAACAAGACCACAGGCTTAAGGTTTGCTTTACAAATTGGTTTTACTTAAGGTTTGCTTTGCAAATAAGTTTTAATCCTGTCGCTAGAGAGTATGACATTCTTGTCCAAAATGTTCTGCTGACTAAAATTACTGGATAACCAGAACTGAGTTGTAAAGGTTTTTAAGAAGAGAAAAGGAATGGTAGCAGGAAAGAGAACATTGTCTCCTATCCCCTATTTTCTATATTCTCTTATTAAGCCCCGTGGAATTCAAAGAATATTAAGATTCAGTAAAGGGCATGCACATGGGATGTAACAGTAACTAGACTTCTGATGACTTGCTGAGAATCAACTCCTTAATGGAGGAAATTCCCTAATAGCCAGAATGAGGAATGAGGAATTCTGCCAAAAGTAAAACCTCTCCTAGGAAGCCATGGATTGCCAAATGGCTAAATTATTAATAAATAAATAAATAAAGTTGGCATGCATGTTTATTCGACAGAAATAAGATCCCCGTCTCTATTCTAATCTCAGTGTTACCCTCTCAGCCTCAAGAACTTGAGTTGGCACACATGAATATGTAGCTCTTATTAAAGAAGAGATCACTTTAGGAGATCACTTTAGGATTTTTCAGAAGAATAGTCTTCTGCAATAGTAGCTTATTTCATGCTTTTTGTTTTTTAATTTTTCAAGAAAGACAGAGTATAGCAGTAGTTTCCAAAGCTACAATTCAGATGTTTGCAATTGGATTGTCCAAAGAGATTTGAAACAAGATATTTGAGACAAGAGTTTTAAAACAAAGAAAAAAAGAAGAGTGTTTTTATACAAACTAGAGACTTCGTTGCACTAACAAAGAACGATTCCAAAAATGAATATGAGCAAGAGCAAGAAATACTAAAAACAAAAGGGGTGAGAAACCCAGAGTTGTAATAACACAGGAAGGAAATATTTGTCCTAGCTTTAGTCTTTATAGGAAAAGGTATATAAATATTAGCAAGCACCCGTATCAATTTTTACTCCGCATATAGATGCTTCTACTATGTGTGCACAAGACCCATTGAAGCAAAAGACTGCAAATAGATCAAAGTCCTCTCAAGGCCTTATGAATGGGTGAAAGGCAGGGCTGGGTTCTATTTACCTTTATTACTGTTTCGCATCGTGCCCACGCATGCTCGTGCTCTTTGCTCGCGTGTGCGTGTGCTCTTCTGCACATGTGCAGATCATTTATGATGATGTCTGGGTCAGTGGGTGGAGCCTCCCGCCAGTTTTACTACCAATTCTATAGAACTGGACTGAACTGGGGGCAACCCACCACTGGTGAAAGGAATAGAGGGGAAGGAAACTGTGATTGTTCTCCCTATTCCTCTGCTCTTTACAGGGTTCAAATTCCAAAACCCAAATTTGTTTCAATGGGCATACAGCTCTCCACATGATCATTATTTGTGGTTCTTATAATAATGAAGTTAAAGAACCGAAGGGGTAGGATGTGCACATACAGGGGCCTGGGTATCTTGACACATACTGTAACCTCTTACATTGTATGAAATTTCTGAAGAGGTCTCAGCTTTTATATCTGTCCTCAGATGTACATGAGCTGCACCAAATTCCTGATCTGGATACAGGAATAGAGTCTTATTCTCTCCTTTCTATTTCTTCCTTTCATTCCTACTTGGTTCCTATGGACTAGGTTGGCTGCTTGCAGTCGTCAAAAGACAAAACAGACCAGTAAAGAAAGGGGTCAAAATGCTCTGATTTCCTTAATGCAAATTTATAAACCAAACATTTCGTGAAAATCTAATGTACTTGACTATATAATTGTTTATTTTAGCTCTCTTCTCAATTTTTAAAAATTCATACGCTTCTAAATGTGTCTGCTTGGTTGGTGGTGTTAGTTAGGTCTTGTGCTTTGACCTAACTAACAGCACAAATAATCTAGTTTGTAAATCAAATGCTTGGAGCAGTGGTGAAGTGAGAACATAACTGTTCCCTTCCAATTTGGAGTACTAAAATTCTCTGCCAAAGGCAATCAAAGTAGCTGAGGTTTGGTGCCCTTCAAGGAAATGTTCTACAGTTTGAGAACTATTAGTACATTATTTTGAAATGCTAACTACCGAACATATGCCACTACTATATGATTCCTTCATTGCTAAATAGTCAAAACAGCAAAGTTTCCCAAAGGCGATGTCTGAAAACAAAACAAAAACATTTCCACAGGTTCAGTACACATCACCAGAATAAACACAAGCAGTTCAAAAGTGTGAGAGGCAAAGCCAATTCAGTCTTTTTTGTTATTCAATAAAAGTGAGAAATATGACAAATCCCACTTATTAGTGGGAAACCGCCGCTTTCTGTCATCACTCAGAACAAATTAATAACATATAATTGTAGTGCCACCAGCATGGCACATAGTTTCTAACACAGGTATTTACTCCTAAAAGGTGTCAGCCTGAAAAGGAATGTGCAAAGGCACATTAAGTTCAAATAAGAGATGGGGAAAATCAAACTGACTTTCATAATCTCAATAATTTTGATACATTCTTTTTCCTTCTTTGTCTGTTCTTAAGGGCATACAGTGGATGAAAAGGCCATTGTTTTCATATAAAACATAAGTAAGCAATATTGCAAAAATGTTAAAATGTTTCCTTACAAAACCAGCCAATTAAATGAATTAATAACACATAAAAATCCCTTTCCATGTTGTTATTTCAACATTACTGCAATTTTAACTAAAGCCCACCATTACCAAAAGAAAAAAAAAATCATTTCATTTTTAAAGAAAAAACATATACAGTACATTTCCATTTTTCCTTTTTTTTTTCCCTATGGGAATAACAAATAATTCACATATGAGAGCAGAGTCTGATGTACTTATTCTTCAAAATGTTTTTAAAGATGGTCTAGCCATTTCTGTAAGGTAACGGTAAAGGTTCCCCTTGCACATATGTGCTAGTTGTTCCCAGCTTTAGGGGGCAGTGCTCATCTCTGTTTCAAAGCCGAAGAGCCAGTGCTGTCCAAAGATATCTCCGTGGTCATGTGACTGGCATGACTAAACACCAAAGGCGCATGGAATGCTGTTACTTTTTTTACTTGCATTTTTTTTAATGTGCTTTCGAACTGTTAGGTTGGCAGAAGCTGGGACAAGTAACGGGAGCTCACCCACTTACGCGGCACTATTATTACTGTACTACCTTATTATTAATATCATTGATTAAATCTATTATCACTCAAATCTTCCTAGAAGAGGTGTTCTCATCATCTCTAATCATACTTCTGAAAACCCTTGCAAACTTCTTTTACAAGAGGCTCTTTCAAGACTACAACTTATTTGGGGATTACAAGGAAGAATGGCTGTAGTAGAAGGAAACATCCAATCAATCCCTATTGTTCCTTTTGCTGATATACGGCTAAACTGGATTGCCTTCAAAATATGCCTGCTTTGGTCATTAGAAAACCTCTATAAATTTTGCCATGAAATCTCCTATAAAACCAGACACATCACTAGAAGCTAAAATCATAAGACTATGTCTGATTTACTTTGGCCATGTCATGCGTGCAAATTCATTGGACAAGCCAATGATGCCAGGAATGGTTTGCGGAACAAGAAGAAGGGGCAAGCTTCCTCTTGCGCATGTCCAAGATGGCCGCTCCCAGCTGAGCGGCGGTGATACCTGGGGGAGATTCCCCGGCTTTTGGGGGTTTTCGGGGGCCGGACCAGCTAATTTTGCCCCATGTCTGGCAAGGGGAGCTTCCCACCAATCGGATGCTGCCTTTTTGAGAGCTGGCAGCTTTCCAGAACGCGATGGCCGGGAG